ACATCAATCACTCGTAAAGATTGTCTACAGATATTCCAAAATTCAACCAAATTGAACTTCGGAATTGGAACGATGGCTTCGGCTAAAGGGAGCTTCAGATTGGAGGTCTTCAGTATGAAGACCTGCGGGACAGAGAGCTTCAAGTTTCTTCTTCGACTTTGTCAGCTTTAACTTGTATCTCCAAGTGGATTATGATGTAGTCTTCACTTGAAGCCTTGGTGGCGAGATGTAGCATTGTCTAAATTTGATGTTTTTCGATTATATATAAAAATTCTTTCTTGCGTGCAATTTATTTATTCACCAATGGGACCAATTATCTAGCCATAAACCAAGTGGAGAATACGATTATTTATCTGGCAACAAATCAAAATGAGTGGACAAAAAGAATTCATCAAGTCGACCCCAAATTCATAGAGAATAAAACTTGCTTTGTTATTGTTGTATTCACCAATGAATTATTCCACTACTTTTTTCAGTGATTTTCTTGTTTAACTTTGTAAGTATTTTCAACTTCTTTAATTTTGAATTTCATGGCTTCTTCACTTTCTGATGGGAAGACTTAGACATTATTACGGTAGCTTCTGAGATGGGGGTTACGATAACCAATACTACGGATCTTGCCCATGCCATTAGGGCTAGTCAGACTACTTTAAAGGAGGGTCGGATAGACTATAATGCGGGTTGGGGGCAACTAAAATCCCTTCAAACGTAACTACAGTCGACTTTGTGGAAATTAGGGAGAAATACTGCATTCCCTATGACATTGAACTCCTAGCCTTGTCTCTTGACGAGAGAGCCTACTTTCCTAAGCAGGGGTGTGTCGTGTCGCGAGTTTCTTCTGAATGGGGGACTTCTTCTGCACCTTCATCCTTTCTTTAGAGCTGTTCTGAGGTCGTACGGGTGGCACCACCCCATCTAGTCCAGAATGTATGAGCCCAGCTAATGGAGACCTACTTTTTGTGGAAGGAGACCACCCTAGGTAAAGATATGCCCCTCTACATCTTCCAATCCATCTTCCAACCTAGGGTATTAGATAAAGGGGATTTCAAGGGTTGGTACTCTTTATGTCCATTGGGGGCCCATTCTTCTTTTGTCATAGGCTTCACTTCTTCTATCAAGCGGTGGAAGTAGACATGGTTTGGTTCAGGAGGCAATGGAATACGTTTAAAGGTGACAAATTTCCCTATGTGATGGTGACAAATTTCCCTATGTGATGGTGACAACCAGTTATTTCGAAGCTAGTGAGAGTTTGTTCATTTAAACTTCTGTTTACTAACTTTGAATAAGCTATAACCTTTTCTTATTGCTACAGGATCGCTTTGAGCTGACCCAAGTGTTGACCTATGGTTTTGATTATAATAAACAAGTTGATCTTATTTACTAACAAGTTGAATTCAAGTGATTATAGTTTTTCAATGCGCATAAATGAATAGCGATTAATGGTCGTCATAAGAGCACAACTATCATCACAAATTGAACTCTAGAAGAAAGCCGAGGTCGAAGCCACATTCAAGAAATCATTCAAGAAAACAAGAGCCGAACTTTGGAACAATATCATATACTTGTCTTCTTAGGATAAATGTACAGGTACTAATACCTCGATATATGGTACAAATGATACAAGCTCAAGACTATTTTATTACTAGAGAGTTAGTGAGTTAGTGCATTAAAAAGTGATGATTTGATAAAATGAGAAAAAGATTTTTCAAATATTAACTTTTTGGATAATGTTTCATTTTAAAAGTGTTAAAGAAAAATGTTTCTCAAAATTTCAAAACAAAACAAACTAAAACAAGAAATAGGACCGCGACGTCCCTCAAAAGGTCCGATTTTTTACCATTCTGGCTTCTGATTTTTTCCGTACAAACGATCATTTTGGTCATCCGAAAATTAGCGATCAACTAGACCCGTCATTCAGTTTGACAGAAACTTTGGCATTTTTCTTCTATATAAATACCAACTCACTTCTCATTTGTTTGCATCAACTTAAGAGCATTCAATTGAGTTTTTTGTTAGCTAAAATTTTATTTATTACTCACCTCATTTATTATCATCAAATCATTCTATCTTTGAAAAACATTTGATTGATTTCAACCTTGAATATTATCTCATTCATCAAAGTTTTTCAAATCAAAGTTTTGAGCTTCATTCATTACCATCTATCAAAGTGTTAACGTATTTCTCTTTTTGTACTCAACTTTGGAATCATCATCTATTAAGAAGAGAAGATTTCATTTGTAAACTTATTTTGAATTGTCGATCGTGTTGAGATCCTGGAAAGATTAACATTATAAAATGATCGATGCTCCTTGGTTGTAAATCACAGGAATCGTTGTAAATGATTGAATTGTACCATAAGTCAATGAACATAGTGAAAAAGGCCTTGCTCATACCGGAGATCTTGGTAATGAGGGACGTAGATCATTACATTGGATCGAACCTCTATATTATATCATTTACATTCTCTATCCCTTTTACTTGACGCTTTTACTTCACACAAATTTATATTGTTCCATTTACATGCTTACTTGTGTTTAGATTATTCTCTATCATTTGCGTGTTCATCTTGAGTGATTAACGAAAAAGTTTTAATAACCAATTCACCCTCCTCTTGATTAGCCATCTCGGGCTTTCACCAAGTAGAATAGGTGTTATAGGACATTTACCTTCATCGTCTATCTTCAAAAGTATTTGACCGTTTGATTAACTCGAAGCGGTTTTTTGAGGAGTTCAGCTTGATGGCTTGAAGAAGTAACTTCTTAGTAGGAAATCTCTTAACTATTGTAGTAGGTAAATTCAATTACCTACCAACCCTCTTCTTTTATTTTATTTTTCAGAAAATTTTGAGAAGATGAGGCATCCCACCCCAGACATAGCCTACATCCTTGCGCCAACTCCACTGCCAAGAAGAAGGGTTTCAAGCTCTCATTTGTAGTAACAAAGCAGGTGAGGGACCAAGTAGAAAAAGATCGGCAAGAAAGCTATTGGTCGAGAGGGAGAAAGGAAACCTCCTATCAAAGATAAGGGAAAAATAAAGTGGAGGAGTTCCCCAAGATGAAGTTTACATTCTCCTCTATCGGAGAGGGGGGGTCAATGGTCAGCCCACCACCTCAATCCGAAGTCCTCATCTGGGAGAAACTGATGGCGGCCTCCATTGCTGTGGCCAGGGAGGCAGAAGAGGCCAACTGTTGTGAAGCCTCTAAGGCAAGAACCGTCTAGGAGGTAGAGGACCTCGAGCAACTCAACAACTGCTTCCGATGCAGCTCATCGAACCAAGCTCTCCTTATCTAATTTTACTTACCAGACATGTTTGACACTTTGAATGGCTATGGAACTAATTTTTTCCAATCCGAAATTTGGCACAGAACATCAACTAATTATTCAAATTACGTTAGTATATGCCTTAAGTCCAGCGAATCATGTCATGTTCAATAATGTTCTGATATCTATTTGTCTTTGTCTTTGGCCGTTGGTTTAGTTTTTCTTTAAATCTGGGAATATTACATTTAATACAATTTGGGAAGTTGTTGATAAGATGTTGCTTTGGAAAACCACGATGCTTTTTTCCGACTGTCGTGTTTTTGCTGTCATCGAAATACATAAATATTTTTTATATATATTATCGTGAACAAATTAGTCTATATTTTCTTCCTCGTTTTTTGGCCTTTTCTTTTTCTGTTAAATTCTATAAGAATTGAAAACCATGGCTTCATCAAGAAGCTTGAATTAAGCTCCATAGTAGAAAAGAAAACAGAGAAGAGAATGATAGGACAAATGAGCTGAGAAATTATATTAATCTCATCCAATTCAACTTTCAATATTTGAGCTTTTCAAGTGTAAAATTTTTGCTCGTCTAATCTTGGGCCATGGAGTACATGTACAGAAAGTACTCACAAATTAGTGAGACTGCTGATTCAAATTTAGAAGATTTTCCTTCACATGTTGTACAATATTTAGCATCTTGATGTTAATGCAATTTGATTAAGCTAGTGGGAAATTGTTATTTCAATATCTACATGTACATCAAGTTTGTCATTTAATTTGACACTGTTATGAGGTAACAACTTTTTATACATTAATTTTAACAATACTTTAAACAACTAATGGCTTAGATTTTGACACAATAGGTGTCAAACTTGTTGCTTAATTCTTGTTATTTTATACAATTCTTTTTGCATATCCGCGTTAGTATTTTATTCAGCTTGTCAAGTGATGCGTATTAAATATATCTAAAAATCTTATACGCAAATATCTAATCATCTTTAGTCGAGATGCAATTACAATGCCATTAAATAGTTTCGACATATTAACTCTAAATCTCCTTTAAGCTTATGGCAACAAGAGATTGCAGTGTTAGTCATTTCCGAAATTTCTCAAAATGCAATGCACCTCAAACAGAGCCCTACTGTCGATCCCAAGATAGATTTCACTGTTGAATTGTGCTAATAGTTACAAGGGAAAAATAAAATATAGAATTAAGGGTTATGCTATTGGTACATAACCCATAACATAATGATGGCCATGATGGACACATGGAGTGCGCCTAGGCCCGTAGGCGCCCCCTCAATAAGGGGCCTCCATGTGTCCATTATGGACACAATTACGAGAAACGCTATGTCCCTAGAATTAAATAGAAATAGAAATGCCAAATATCAAGTGCAAATTATATCTTATCATTTGCCATCAAAATTCACTAACATTATGGTGGATGTAGCCGGAAAATATTGAAATACTCGGATCCTAATCCTTAAACAAGTTGAAAGAAAGGAAAATAACTAGCTATGATGTCGCCAAAAAAATTGATTTTCCAAGCAAAAGAAGCTCTACAGAAAACCACAAGTTCCATACCAAGACTAACATATTCAGCGCACTTCTCACTCATAAAAATTGTTTGTGTATTTCATGGACGCACTATATTTACACTTGATTAGAATAGTGCTTTGAATATCATTTTATCCCCTTGAGAAATGGCATGTGAACGGATTTCTCAATTCACTAATTTAGGGTTCCAATTCATCTGTGCATGTTGCAGTTGCTGTTGAGGTTGCAATTGTGGTTGCAAGATAAGCACCCAATGGTCCAGCCACCGCCTGAGACTGCTGGGGAAGTGACTGAAGTGTAGACGGGATTGATACAGTTTGTGTTGGATGATAGATTCCAGGGAAGGTCCCATGGCCAACCTGTAAAGGAAAGATGGAATGTTGTCCCTGAGGAATGTTGTAGAAAACATTGGCCTGCAAAGTTGACATGTCCTGGCCAGGTGCAGAAGTCCATGCATGGGACTCCTCATTCTGCAAAAACAAATTGGAGGTGTTGGACGGTTATTTTACCTGATCATAGGTTAGGTTCTCTCAAAATTTATAAATGGCAAATGATGGTGTGGGAATTTTGAAGTTTCAGGTCTGGACCTCTAGCTTTATAACCAATACTCGAGGTGTAGAAAGAATTTAGTGTACGTGGAACAATATTATGACTGGCTTGTTAAAATAACTCCCACACTAATAAGGTCGAAATACAAATCCAATGGTCTACTGATAACTCTAAAACTAAAAACATATTTGATTACAGACCTGTTTTCTAAAACTAAAAACATATTTGATTACAAACCTGTTTAATAGTAGAGTAGATGGTCTTTTCTTTCAGCTCAGATCCCACAATATCATTGTTGTTCGCAGAACTACCAGGTGCCAAAGCTGCACTGGGACTATAACTAACCCCAGAGGCCCCATAAGAACCATAACCAGAAGGAATTCCATAGTGGGTCAGATTTCCAACAACAGTTCCCGGTTTGCACAATGAATGAACAGGGAATTTTACTCCTGTGGCATTAGCAGTTGGTGGCATATAGATGTTGCCAGTTGAAGGATGCTGCGGGAACCCACTGTTCCCTAAGTATTGGTGAGCATTTGGTGGTGTCATATAAAGCTGCGAAAAGTAAGGGTTGTACGGTATGTAGTTAGGAGGATATGGCTGTCGAAGGTAAGGAAACAACTGGGGTGATACAGGAATAGAATTCTGCCCAATTCCGGCTGGTTGAGTTATTGATGTTGCTGATGGAACCAGAGATTTTCCTCCCTGCTATTTGACATTAGAAGAATGTGGGTTAGAATTAAATAATGAAATTTAAAATGAATATGACTTCAATGGGGGAATACATAAGCAAAAGGCATACTTTTAGCATTCCACAAAATATTCCAAGCGGAACCCTTGCATGGAGGATAAAAGACCAACGGAGAAGGGAAGGCAAAAACATCCAACATGATAAGGCAATACCAAGAATGTTATTTGTTTCATGCTCCTCGCAACTTTTAACTACCCCAAATTCAGAAAGTCAACTAGAACATTGAAATTTGATAAACCCAAAATACAGTTCATGTCAAGCATTGATATGGCTAGCACAAAACATCAACTCATATGACAAAAAATTAAAGACATTATCTTGAATAAGAAACAGAAAAAGATAACATGCCTGTGGCTCAAGACCTTCGGCTTGCACCAGACGAGATCCTATAACCGGGTGTACAAGATTGAGACTGTAGTCTGTCATATTAGGAATAAGTGGGTTCTGATATCCTCCTAGCGATTGGATCAGCTCCTGCTTTGCCTGATCATATCTCAGCGTGGCACCAATAGAAACATTTTCTTGTGATGGTGAAAAATTATCAGCTACATGGGGAGGAGACGGGGGACAATCAGGATAATCATCTCGTCCAGCTGTTGAGGATGCAGGTTGATCACTGCACTCAGTGGTTGTATTATGTCAGCGAAATATTAATTTTAGAACATAGAAGAGTGACGAACTGCCATGAACTTAAAATGCTGCCTATTATAAGCACAAAGTATAGGTGAGATCTTAACACACCAGAGAAATTAAGGTACAAGTTAATAAAATGAGAAATGCCACCATTTATAGAAATGAACCAGAAACTCCAGAGATTTAACACAGAAGAGAGAACATCTAGTTACTAATTTAAAGTTAGGATAGAAAGATGCCTTTTAACATACATTAAGGTGAAGAAGCTTAATTAACGTCATGCAGTAGTAGTTGAACAGAGGATAAAATTGTTTGTTAGTTACTTACATCACAGAAGATTCCTTAACAGCTTCAACATTAGTCGCAAAAGCTACATCCACAAGCTTCGACTCCATGATGCTCTGTCCCATAGGAATACTCAAACTTCCAAAAGTCAAACCATTCTTGAAAGCTTCAGGTACATGAATATGATTGGGAAAAATAACAGATTGATGAGCAGAGATATGTAACTTGGGTAGCTTAGTATCAACTTCTGAGATGGCTTGTTTTGAAGCAGAGTCATCTAGTTTAGAAAAGAGATGGAAAATTAGCTTCTAGTCCAAGAGAAGTTTCAAAAAGAATCACAGTAAATATATGATTTGAAATAATAAACCAGTAAAAATGTTATTGCATATGTTCATGTCCTGTTGTTATCTAAACAATCTTGTTGGCACCCATCAACCAATAAAACAAACGATAATGCTTAAACTTAACATTTGCTTCCGTGTAGTTTTCTGGAATTAGAAACAACAAGATTACTGTTGAAGGTATAGAAGCTAGTGCCACATATTGCAAAACAAGATAACCGGCTTGGCTACACATGGAATTAATAGAACAACAATTAGTGAAAAGAAATTAAAGGAAGTAAATGGAAGACATCTCCAATAAATGATGGAACATTCAAGACACCATGCATCTAGCATCTCTAAATTGATATCATACTCCGAAGATAATGTGCTTCCTGCTTTCATAATTTTCATCAATAATTAAGCATGGGTTACAAGAATCCTGTTGGCATCTTAAGCTGTAAATAACAGAAAGTCAAAACGATAGCTTATTCAATGAAATTGGAGTACAAATTATCTTGAAACTTTGCAAGCATGAACATTGAATGGATGTTGGAAAACATGAATCAAGATATGACTACAAAATAATACCTTTTGAAGGATCATTGATTCCTTGCACTGGAGGAGTTTCCTGATTAGATTTGCAAGCAGGCGAAACATTGTGGTTAGTTGAAGATGCCATTAGGGGAGGCTCAGCCAGCTGACTCCTGTCAACTCCTTGGGATCCTCTAGTCTGTTTGTTGCTTGTGGAGTCAACAGATCCTGAGATTGCTAGAGCTTTAGTTACTGTTTGACCATCTATCATTCTGTTGTCAGCTGGTGGGTTGGTACTAACTTGAGCTGCAATCTGCTGCTTCCCTGTTTCAGGCTTAATTATACCAATTCCCCCAGAATATCGGGGATTTAGAGATGGCACTAGCAAGGGATCTGATGCAGATGAGTACAAGCCTGAGACAGATCTTGAATCCATGCTATTTCCAAGATGACTAGTTATTGATTTGGACTTTCCACCTTCAAACCTAGTGCCTGTTGCAGCAGTGGAAGCCCTAGTTGGTGTAGGGGTGGGAGTCGGGCCAGGGTATAAATTTGGGAATTGCTTCACTGCAACACTTTGTAGAAATGACATTTTCCACAACTTACTATTTTCAGCAGCTGAAATATCTTTGATGGTACCTCCAATATTACACATGGATAATTGAGAAGTGGATTTGTCACTAAGGCTTCCATTACATACACTAGCTGAACTATTGGCAGAAGATGTGGAAGAACTGAAAATCATTCCAGTGTAAATGGTAAGTTCAGGAGTAGATGATGAAAATTCTAAAATAGCATAAACATGGGAAGTGAAATAGTGGCACTGAAATTATTACTTTGTGATAAGAGATGATTCATTGTTTTCTGTTTTATGAGGACCTGGAACATATGACTTAGAAGCTCTCTCTGTACGCCTACTGTAACCATTATCCTGACCACCGTTCAATTGCCTTCCACCTCCAGCACCTGAGGAAATGGTCAAAATATTAAGAAATGTGAGACCACCTCATTACTGGAGATTATAAACAGAATACAGTCAGAAAATTGAAAGGGGAAAATGGCAAATTTGATAAATGGCATTACATGGTGAAAACTTACATATCTTTAAAATGATGCAAATGAGGTGAGGAAGATATTTGATGCGAGAAAAGATGGAAGACTTTCATGAGGCTTCAAAAGAAAAAATATTATCCTGACTCTCAAGTGTAATTGTAGAAAACATAAGTGAAGATGCATTTATTTCCAGAAACAAGCAAAAAAACCTGCTTGGGCAATTTTATCATAAGCAATGTAAAACAACCATACATTTGTATAAATAAAACATTTTAAAACAGGACAAGGTAGTCTTCCAGCCAGAATTAACAAAATTAAAAAAACTAAGGCCTTCAAAATCCAGTGTCTAAACTCTTAGAGAACACAGGAAATTTAATACTGTGCTTCAAACTTTAATGACAAACTGCAGCAAGACAGACAATTGCATTATATTTCACCAAATTTTCAGTTAAAATGATTTAATAATCTGAAAGCAAGAAATCATGATGCAAAAAAAGGAGAGTTTTGAAACTCAAGTGCAAATTAAAGGGAAACCATCATAAGTTTCTTATTGATAGACAACATGGAAGGTATACCATCAGAATTAGAAGAAGAGTAATGGTTTTCTCTGCCACCCCTAGTCCCTCTCCGCTGCATGCCAGGTGTCCACTGATCATCATATGCTCTGCTGTTCACAGTCTGTAATAAGGCAGAACTTGAGAAATAGTCATAATTTTGAGAACAAACAAAATTGGTACAAGTTGAACCGTGGCTAGCAACTATATACCCTCAGCACACCAATTCCAACATATGGTGGTAAACCGACAACTTTAGACGAGAGGCGAAGTTCACAATACCAATAAATATACCAAATCTGACAGAAATGCTTGTCTAAACTAGTTTTCAATGCTTTCAAGCAAAGCAAATCCTCAAAGACAAAGCAGATAGGCATTGTGACTTCTTAGTTCTTAGAATGTTCACATCAAATAAATATCTAGGTTTTTCTTTCATCAGAGGTTCTATGTTTTCCTCTTCTTTTCATTTCAACCAAGGGAGGGTGCAAGATCTTGGATTTGAAGTATCTAATTGCAAGGGTTCAAATGGAACCATACGGCACCCTAACAAGATTAACTGTTACACAGCTGTGATAGAAATTAGTTGGAAGCGACGGAAGAGGTTTTGCTGACAATGTAAAGAACTGGACCATCGATAAAACCACGAAAACAACTAAGTCTTAACTCGGTTTCGGAAACTCACCCACAATCATGCTAAGAACCTTCTTAAAGGTTCATTGATACTAAAATGCAGAGAGGGGAAGACAAACGCGGCAGACACTGAAAGAGATTATTCTAGTGCAAACTACTGAAAAGGAATATGTTCAATCAAGTAACTCACCACTTTCCTCCGATCACGTTTGCTCTTGACCTCATGAAATGTGTCTGCAAAATCAAGCCAAGGTTTGTTGCATTTACAAATAGAAAATAATGAACATGAATTACAGATGTGATATGCACATCAAATTTCATAACATACTCAATTGTTTTCAGATCACTTCAAGAAAATAAAAGAAAGAAGCAGGAACGAACCAGGTAAAAACAAGCAAGAAGACACCCAGAATTTGTAAAGTTTAGTAGAATAACAAGAAGCTTATAAGACTACTGAATGAATTTGTATTTAGCTTAAAGAGTGTCAGAGGACTTAAGTTTCACTTTTTTTGCTAAAAAGTAAACAAGAAGGGAACAGAAGCCACAAAAGGGGAAGAAAATTGTGCAACTTATATTTCTGAAACCCCTAATAGCCACAATCTCAAGGCAAAACAGTATGAAATCTAGATTTCCAGGTTATCTACCTCAAATATTTAAGGAATTATAAAAATCGGTATGAGGGTCACCACTATGTCCACAGTGTGACAATTCTGAGACTATTAAAAATGAATACAGGACACGGTTGGAAAAGCAAGTATTGTCCCTTTCAAAACTGCTTGCTGAAGCTCATTGATCTAAAAGATTATTGAGTTTTATTTCAAGTAGGGTGGAAATTTTATGTTCCAAATATGCTACAAGCAACCAGGTGAAATTGATATTTCATGCTTTAACTTAAATCAATAAGTTAATACGCATTTATCTTATTTCATCATTATCATTAAACAGAATCATTGTAACTGCAATTTAAAAACCATCTCAAGACAGTAGGTGACTACAAATTCATAGACCACATGAAAGCCCATCAGATTTCTCACTGTTTCTCAACTCAATTAAATAGAACAATCAAAATGAAAGTTAATATTTGCTGTACTTAAGAATAAATCTCTGTTCCCATATCAAGAAGACATATAAAAATATACCAAAAAAGCAAAGTTCCGGTAAAAATCCAGTTTATAATTTTTATGCGATTAAGATAATCAAATACTTAGTAGACAAGTGCTTATCTCAGGGTACAATAGCTGCATCAAGCTTTTCAACTTTTACTGCAGGGATTAAATTAATGAACTCCTTCCCTTCAGTTTATCCAATTCCAACAACAGAAAACTAAAGCCTTTAATACATATACTTCATCCGTCCCTAATTCTTCAGCTATTAATTGAAAAAATTAACCTAATATACCGACAGATCAGAACTTAACACCATCAAAGTAAAAACTTAACGCACTACACACAACTATAGACACGAGTGCTGGCGTGCACATGATATGTGTGTGTGCGTGTTGGGGGGAGGGGGGGGGGGGGGCTGCATGCGNAAGCGCCGGTCATTGTTTCTCCAACGAATGCAAGGCCGAATTCGATAACAGCAACAATTATAAGATCATTGACCGGAATAATCAATTATCAAATCGACATTATTGTTGCGAATAAATATAGGAACAGTGAAGCATGCAGAGAGAGAGAGAGATGGAGGAGGAGATTGTGTGATGCAAATAGGAAACTTTGAGAAAGAAAATAGGGACTAAGCATGGAAAGATTTTGAATTGATTTTGTTAATTAATGGAGGAGCGACAAATTCATAGCTTTGGTGCGGAAATTGGACAAAAAAGAGGAGGGGAAACGGATCCGTGATTATTTTATAATGAATTAATTTAATCAATGCCGACTGAAAATTTAAACAAAATTACTCGTAGCTCGTTGAACTTTTCTTTAAATAACAATTATGGAAATGATACTTATGATTAATGTTTATTTAAATTTGGGTGAGCAACGCGTAACCTTTTAAATTTTGATGAACAAGTAATAATTTATAACAAAATTCAGTGAGCAACGCGAAACCTTTTGATTAAATTAACCTTTTATAATTCTCAAACAGATACATCAACTTTTCAAATTTACTTACTTTGGTACATAAGGTTTTGTGTAATTCTAAAAATTGCACATAGACTGTTGAAATTACTTAATTTGGTGCTTGTAGTTTAATGTGATTCTCAAACTGGTATATGAACGGTTGAAATTTACTTAATTATCGTATAATTTGTATCGGTTCAATCAAAATTATTGTTAAAGTAAAGCTCATGCTTCTTGAATAAGCATTTAACTCTTTATAAAGTAGAAGTCTTCGAGTTTTTAGTAGTCTCGTTAATGTGGTATCTTTTAATTTTATTGACATGAATGTGGACGTAAATTTTATAACGTTTACGGGGTGGTGATGAATTTTACAAATCCTACTAAATTTAAGTGTCTTCAATTGAGATTTTAATTTTAAATTCAATAAAATCTTCTACATTTTATGTATCCTTTATAATTAGTAGATTTATAAAGATTTCATTAATAGATGAATTTTAAAACCATTGGATGGATTTCAAGATTAAAAATATATATAACAAAATATTTTAAAATTTCACTATATATGAAGAGATTCTTGTGGTCTAAACTATGTGAGTGGAAGCTAGAGGACAACTGGTAGTAACACGATCTGCCCCCACAACATGCACAGATCGTTGCGGTTCATGTACAACATTAACAGACTTGGATAAGTTGTCAAGCTTCTTCATTATTGCCTTCATTTGTACTTGTAACGCTGTTACTACATCTATGTTATGCAAACCCCCTACTTTATTTGAGAAAATGCATCATCAATCTTCGTCGTCATAACTGAACTACCCGCTTAAGCATCTACCATGTTGCGAAATTTTGTGCACAATCCGTAGTAGAAAAAATACAACTGCACCTACTTAGGAATGTCAACATTTGGACACTTTCTAAACGAGCTCTTGAGCATCTCCCATGCCTCTAGATATGTCTTAAGATCCTTCTATTTGAAAGTGTCAACTTCGTTTCGAGTTTGATGGACTCGAGATAGCGATAAGAACTTCATTGTAAACTTTTGTATTATGTCACTCCAAGATAAGATGTTCCCTGGAGGTAATAAGTAGAGTCATGCTTTTGTGTCTCCTCCAAAATATGAGGGAATAAGCGCACTCGAAATACATCTACTGACATCCCTTTATGACTGATAACTTTGCACAAAATGAGAAAAGCTTGAATATGCTCATTTGGATTTTCTGTAGCTTTTTCGAAGAACTTGATGTCATGATGATTTTCGAAAAGATTGATGACATCTGGTCGAATGTGAAAGTTAGCATGTTCAAAGGGCAGGTAGATGATAGGAGGTAGTAAATACTGGTACAGGCATTGGATTCACATAATCCCTTACATATTCATCTCTCGTTGGCAATAGGTATCTGTGGAGCTAGTGGTGGTTGTTGAATCAGATCCTAAATCAAATTTTGATTTTGATTCTCAGCCATTATCTTTGTTTTCTCTTTGTTCTCTTTTACATTGTCTGAATGTTCTTCCGATCTCGGGGTCTAGTGGAACTAGTCAGAGTCTTGCATAAGCTGATGACAACATGAAAGAAGTGATACACAAAGAATTCAGGTAGTATAATGAATAACGTAAAAAAAAAAAAGAAAAAAAAAAGAAAAAGTATCGAATCTAATGTAAACTAATAAAGTAAAATTAAAACCATTATTCTCCGGGAATGACATCAAAAACTTGTTCGGCAAAATTCCTCAAGTGTTCGAGATCGTTGACGAGCAAAAGACAGAATAAGTTTAAAATGATCGTTCCACAAGGAATAATGTTTAATTCGGTGTACTTGTTAGTATCATGTACGATAAAAAGTAACATAAGAAGAGATTTTTTTGTGATTTTCTCATCTAATTTTAATTGAGAAAGCAATTAAGAGTGGTTTTTAACAAATATGTAATGAATGTATTGACTTTCCGAATACCTCTATTAGTGTTATTTCTAATTCTCGACTCATAAAAAGTAGTTTTTATTTTCCTAATGTTAATGACAACCAATAATCGAATTTTATTTAATATCATTTTTCCTAGAAATATCAAACATGTGCTTAACACGTCCTGATCATATTATTAGTCCAAATTTATATGAAAAACATACATTTAATAGCATGATAATTTCACGCGATGGCGTATGCCATTCATATTATTCTTATTATCTAATGTTCGTATGTTAAATATGCAATGTTCTACTTATTGTGTGGCTCCCAACACTATGAATAGGCGACAAATTATTTAAATGGTGATCAAGTATTCAAACAACACAATTTAGTTGTATAAATAATTAAGAAACTAAAGAAATTACTAAATTAATGAGTCTTGAATTAAAAATAACAAATAATAAAGTTCATCATCCATCCAATATAATAAAAACTTATTTTAACATTCCTTTAATTAAATTATATAAGAATAATGATAAAAATCACCCTAAAATATGAAAGATGGGAAAAGTAGGAAAAATCCATGTTCCGGCTCAAAATCTTGAAATCAAGCTATGAGCTTTCAAATTCCTTATATGATTCATCTAGAATTGATGTATAGACTTTTTATTCGCCTCCAAAATATGTAGAATATGATGAAATTTAGGTCGAATGAAGGATCCCCACATTCTTGTTGAGTTTTGGTATTCAAAGGATACAAAAAAATTGCATTGAATTGTTACCAAAACAAAAATAAGGAAAATCAGATTTTTCCCTTTTTTATACTGAGGCGCATGCCTAGGCATAGCCTGTAAGCGAGAGCGCGCGTCTTGGTCTCTCTAATGGGCAGCTTTCGGTAATTTTTGTTATAACTTTCTCCTTCGATATTCGATTGAGCTGATTCAAAACATATTTGGAAAGCTAAATAAAAAAATATACAATTCTTATAGAAATATCATTTTTCCAGTTCAAATGTTTACTATGCCAAAAATGGGTTTTCATTTGAGGCTGAAAATCCGGAGCATAACTCTTTCAATCGGAAATTGACATTTGATAATATTTTGACTATATTTCATTCATTTGACTTATTTTCTCATCCAATTGATATCTAATACTTTCAACTCTTCATCGTGAGTTCGTCACAACTTTTGAGTATTTGCACTTTAGTCCAACACTTGGATTTCATCATTTTTTTCCTCTATTTTTAGCTTGTTTTCTCCATTTTTTCATCAAATCATGAGTCTTACCTATTAAACACAATACATAACAAATTATGTAATATTTTAATCAAAGAATTATAAAATATTGTTATTTAAGGTCTTGAATTAGTGTATAAAATATACTTATCAATATTCTACACAAAACCTATCCAAACCACCCACCCCACTTGATGTTCTTTGGGCTTCATTTAAGCATTAAGGAGCTTGTGTCTACTCTTCTTGGTTTGATCCACCTATGCATCTGTACATACATTAATACTTGGATTGTTGCAAAAAATGGATAAGATTGATCAAATTCAAGAGCAATAGAGGAAATGGAGAAGATGATACAAAATAATTGAGATAAAATGGTTTACACAACATTAAAGGTGGTTTCAATTGACGAATTTACAAAAAATAAAAAAAATAAAAAATTAACAAGATCATTGTGATTTCCTTGTTCCCTTTGTTCTTGGTGGTGTCTAAAGAACGTGCTTTCCTCCAACACCAACTAGCTTTTTTACTTTCCTTTTGTACTTCTTCTCGAAAGAGTTTTGTAACTTAAGGATCTCCTCCTTCCTTCTTTGAAACAAATCTCTTAGAAATTACTCAAAATTAGATTGGTGGCTACTTGGATTAGTTTCTATAGACATTGGGCAATTTGTAATAGCTTGTGGATGGATGCTCGAAGGGTGCTAAAGCCTATAGCTTGGGAGGACCATGTTAGTGTTGTGTGCATTCTAGCTTTCTAATTTAGGGATAAATTTTTACAGGAATAATTGACACTGTCTAAATAGTCTTTATCGTTTCAATTTGGCATTTGGATCTTCAGATCAACTTTTCTTTATGCAAAAACAAAAGAAAAAAGGATAGGAAAAATATAATTGCAAATAGGAGGTCCCAAATTTTTCGAAAATGACAAACAAATCACTTAAAATAATTTAAAGCAAATTAACAAGAGAGAGAGAGAGAATCCATTTTCCAAATCAATACCACATACCCTTATACTCCACCACCATCGCTACCCTCGGCCATCACCACCATTGGACTTGTGCATACATCTCCTTTGTACGACATTACTGCTGAAAAAACATTTCTTCCTTCCACATTTCCCTAGCCTTTTATTTTTTTATTTTCTAATTCCTCTATTTTCCCCAAGTCTAGTATTCTGCACGATAGGGGTTTCCACTTCATATAAGCTGTTGTATGCGGTCCAACTTCAATGCCTTGGAAGCACACTTACCTGGTTTTATGCTTGAAGAATACATACTTTAGCCCCTATTGGTCTGTTATGGTTGAGCTAAAACTCAACCTTAAATCAGCTAAATGTAACCACAACACAGCTCAAACTAATGAATTCCAACAATTAACAATTGAAATGAAGAACAATTTTATTCAATCGAAACTGAAATTGCCATTACAGAATTGAAAGAGTTATTAAGAAAGAGAAAGAGAGAAGAAGAGAGAAGGCAGAGAGAAATTTGAGAGGGAACTTTTCGCACAAATCAACTCACATCTTTCTTCCCTCATTTCCCTCCTGTTATACCCAAAGAAGGAACGCATTTTCAGCAACAAAATGGATAAAACGTGCTCCTAATTACAATTAAAATTTGGAAATCAAAACGACACCGTTTAATCCAAGTTAAAACGACGTCGTCTCGGGCTTTGATTTTAAAATTGGCGGCAGACTTCTTC